TTATAACAAATAGAGAACTATGAAAACAAGTTTTTCTCAAAAAGTCAAAGGGAGAGTGACTTTGATCAAAACCCTAATTTTCCGATGAAAATATATGAGATGATTGCTTAACTTCAAAACCCTAATTCCTCTGAGCGTGAGGGAGAATCCCTTGAATGAAGATGCTTTACATGTTGATAGGATAATAATTCTTCACAAGTATTGCTCTTGAAGATACAACACACTTGATTAATCACCATAGGGCTAAAAGATCAAAGAAATAGGAGGAATTGATCAGCTTCAATAAACTTGTCATTCTCAATATTCTGATAAATCAATGAGACAATTGAGATGTCTTGAGTATGAGAAACCCTTGTAACTTGAGTGACCCAAAGAGTGAGGGCGTGATACCCTTTCTTTGCACTGATTGACAATACAAACCATCCTCCATAGCTTGTAGAAGAACATGAGAACCAAAGATACCTTGATCGTGTCAAAAATGAATGAATGTGTATGATGAAACATAATCCATATAAGGTAAAAAGAAGATGGAAAATTTTGGGGTGCAACTGTTGCCCCTATTCAATCATCTTAAACCTGATAAGTGAGAAAAAGCGACAGCTTTCGAATGTTCAAGGTGGAAGAGGATTGAATACTAAAAGAACCCAAAAATGTGTGCTCTAGATAAAGCAATAATGTAGAAACAACCGGTAATTGTATATTTTTGGTATTTTCTGAAATAAAATTGTATTTTCAAGTATCAGGAGTAAAGGATGGGAAGACTAGTGGTAACTAGACCTTACCAAAGAGTGTCAGTAGAAACTAGACTTGAAAGATATGCCAATAGAAATTGGATTTGAACAGGTAGACCAATAGAAATTGGGTTTGAAAAGGTAGACCAATAAAAATTGGATTTGAAAAGCTAGACTAATAGAAATTGGATTAACCCAAGAGGACTAGTGGAAACTTGACTCTAGAAGGTGATGCGCAAGGAACGAACTGGTCCACAAAAAAAAAACAAAATGAGTAGAAACTCAAGCCAAGATAGGACTAGTATGAACTAGACTCTAAGGATAACAATAAACATTGTATCCAACACGTAATACTAGACTAATCTGGTCTCAATCAATAAAGTACAGTAGACATTGAACAAAAACCATTTGCATGCTAGCTGAACGCTGGTGGGGTCGAGGAAAGGAAACAAGTAGAGACTCGACCTTTAGGGGGTACTATAAAGAATGAGCTAGGTGGAAACTGGTGTACATACAAGGTAACGAGGTAAAAACTCGACATACGAGGAACTAGTAGAACTAGACTCTGAAAAAAAACTTAATAGGACAACAATAGAAATTGGGTCCTACAGCAAGGTCACTAGAATGTGCGTGTATTTCAAAAGACACTCGTTGGTCTCAATCAAGGATAGACATTAGGTAATGAATTAATCTAAGAGGTATAAGAGACATATAACAAGTAGAGACTCGGCTCAAGAAGATTAGTAGTAGAGGCTAGTCCAAAGATGGGAACCGAGATAAAACCGGGTAGCACACACACGTAACAAGTAGACACTTGACCTAAAAGGAGCTAGTGGAAGCTAGGCTCGAAACAAATACCAGGGTAGAACTGGATTCGAAAGGTACACAAATAGACATTAGGATAAACCAAGAAGGGTAGTAGAGACTAAACCCGAGAAAACTGTGCCAGGGAAGAACTGGACCATTACCAAAGATAATGAGTAGATACTCGATAACCTAATGGTAACATCAAAAGGATACTTGTAGGGGTGAAAATTGGGATAGTTAGGATAAAGTGACCTTGCTGGGGGGATACTCCAAAGTCTTTAACAACTCCACTGGGGAAAAGGGAAACAACAACGGCTTATGTTTCGATGCATGTTTGAATTTTTTTTCCATGGAGTAATGTTACAAAAGAGAATGGAAATAATAAACTTTGAGGATGATATGTGATGATGTATGATTCTATCGAAGAAACGAAGAAGATATAAGGAACTACTAGAGATAATCCCTTGAAAAGCTGAAACTCTGTGGGGAGTAACAAACTGAGTAATCGGTGAATACGGTCTATAAACTCTGAATGGAGTTGCAAAAATAAATTGCAAACTCTACTGGAGAAGATCAAACCAAAACTGTAAATTCTGAGAAGGTACGTCAATGGAGTTTGGGTGTTGCTAGGGAGGACACCAATAGATATCAAAATTCACCTGACTGCTTGGGGAGTATTTTATCAACTTCTTATCGGGGATGATAAAAACTCGTACTACTGGGGATATGAGGACCCATGCTGGAGATAAGAGATCTTAGGAACAGAGCTCCTGCTGAATATAAGGTACTCTTTGCATAAGATCATTCAGAAAAATATGCTACTGTTGGAGATACGAGAATCAACAAATCTTGATAGAACAATTCTGATAGGGATTCAAGAATGATCTTCAATAAGAACGAGCCTTGTTAGGGATATAGGATCCTAGGGTATGAAGCCACAACAACGTACTCCTCTAGGGATATGAAACTTATCAGCAGCCAAGATCAAATTCTACTGGGGAAAAAGGAGAATCCTTGAATAAGAACTTTCAATGAAACGACTCAGCTGGGGAAATGAGGATTCCTGAGTAAGAGATCTCAATAAGGCAACTCCACTGGGGAAATGAGAGATCATGAGCAAGAGATCTCATAAAGTAGCCTCTTCTAGGAAGTGGGATAATCTTCAACATGTCTCAGCTGAGGAAAAGGAATAATCTCGAATAGACTTGGATAGAGGATGAGAAAATTTATTAGCATAAGGAATCTCAAAAGTATGCTTCCATTGGGGGGAGAGAAAATTCTTGGATAAGAAATCTTTGTGAATCGAATTTGGTTAGGGAAAGAAACTCTGCTTTAGGAATAGAATTTCTCTAAATGAGCACAACTTAACACAAACATTTGTTGGGGAATGAAGATTTTATACCAAGAAATCTCATTAATCACAACTTTCAGACGAAAGATTTTTCGCTAGGCGATGCTGGGAGAAGAAAACTTCAAGTTTTGTTGGGAAATCATGAAAGAATTCTAGTCAGTCGACCTCTCTGCTTGGGTAGACTTACTGGGGAGAAGTAAAAACTTCAGTGCTGCTGGGGAAATGACCCAGGCTGGGGATACCATAGTTATCTTGAAAGATGTTATTCTGATATTGGAAAATTAAACATAAGAGAACGAATGATAGTTCCTGCTAAACAAATCACACAAAACATGCCCCATGTATAGTATGAAGGAATTTCGCTTGAGAAGCTCCTTGTAGAAACATGGTACCATACTGACTTTAGATGATTTGCCCCAGTGTAGCTTAAGCTCTAAATAGTTCTCTTACACAAGAGGTTCATTGAGAGATTTTTCGAATCTCAACGTAATTGCTTCATATTGATTGACCTTTGAAAAGGTTCACCTCGAGAGGACTTATTGAGATATGTGCCACTATGGATAAGTTTCCCCAGTGTTATGTAACTCGGAACACTGCCCCTTATAGCGGTGAAAATCAAAGATCAAGCTATTAATTAACTTGACTCGCGAATAAGCAAGAGTCACCACCGCATTTTATTATTTCCAAGGGAAAAGGGAAAAGAGAGAAATAAAACCCTTAAATATGAAATGTAAAGTAATACTTAAAAGTAATGAAAATACAATGCATTTTCGAAAGAGATCTAAAGTTCGAGGATTGGTTACACAAAGGGAAGGTACTAGCAGCCAATGCATATGCGGTACTCCGCAGGAACCTTTTGAAATATCTATTTTTATGGTTAAAAGTTATTTGTTTGGTTAAAATGGGTGTGGACGAGATTTTGAAGATATGACGATCTAGTGTCAAAGTTTTGACTTAAAAAGTGTGAGTTTTAAAATTGAATCTTTTAGGAAAATTAACTTATTGTTAACAAAAATAATAAAACAAAATGAATGAAGGAATTCGCACGATCGTGTAAGATATACTTGATGACATGAAGTCAACAAAGTTAAAATATTTCCCTTGGAATTTAGACGGACGAAAGATATAAAGACTTAAACGGAGTTAATTAGAATGACATTTGAATAATTAAATAATCAAAAATTAAATAGAAGACTAATTTATACTAGCATACAATTTTGAATAATTAAATAAACAACAAAAATTAAATAAAAGCATGTATTTAAATAATTAAATAAACAACAAAAATTAAATAAAAGCATGTATTTGGATAATTATAAACAGCAAAAATTAAATAAAAGCAGCTATTTGGATAATTATAAACGGTAAAAATTAAATAAAATCATGTATTTGAATAATTAAAAATAACAAACATTAAATAGAAGATTTATTTATAAAACATGTAAATAAATAAGAAAAATTTAAATAAGATATTAATTTATAACATGTATTTTAAACATTAATAAATAACAAAAATTAAATGAAAGATTAATAGCATGTTTAAAAAAGATTAATTTGTAACAAGCATGTTTTTGTTGTATTTTATAATAATTATAATAAATTAAACTATATTTGTTATTATATGGAGAGATAAGACTAAAAGAATTGAAAAAAAAAACGGAAAAATGTCTCAGCCTGGAGTTGAACTCGTGTTCTCCTGATTGCTATAATTAAGATAAAAGTTGAAAATTGATAATTGGGATTGGGCCAAAAGACCCAATGGACTGACCCGGTTTTGGGAAGAAGTAAAGAAAAGTTTTGTAACCCTAGCATGAGATAGGCGCAGCTGGTTGTTATTTATTGTTAACATTGGGAAGAGAAACAAATAGAACATTATTATTGTTAGTTCCAACAAAAACAATTAGAAAGAAAAAGTTGAAATAAAATAAGACAGTCCTCTCTCTCACGAATTAAGGCCATCACTTTCTACAACTCTATTACAGCTTCTTCTTCATCGTTAAAATCATCCCCTTCATGTTTATGGCCATTCTACTGAGACACACCATGCTTATTGTCGCTAACAATAACCTTTTTCTTTTTTATGTCATGTACTTTGATAAAAAAAATTGAAATTAACAACAAATACAACAAGCAAAGAGATGCTCAGAGGAGAAGTAGAGAAACGGGAGGACGAACAGCGGATGTGATGATGTTCCGGTGGTTGGACGAAATTGGTGGTAGTCCGATGAAGATGGTACCGGCGGTGTGGAAAATGAATGGCGGGGGCGTTTCTTGGTGTATGAAAGGTATTGGAGGTGCGATGGGATTTGGGATTTCGAAGGAGATGAAGTAGTTGTCGCCATTGTAACTGGTACGAAGAGGAAAAGTAGAATCGGTGGTGAAAATTTGTTTGGATTTAGAGGTTGAAGCATGAAGAAACGAAATTGTAGAGAAACTGAATCGGTGATGATACTAGAAGGCGGAGAGTTATGGTGAGTTTTTGGTGATGCTTACACGGATGCGAGAGTGACAGTTTTGTAGAGTTTAACAGAATCGGTGGGGTTTGACAGTGTTGAATGAATTATAAAGATCAGCTCCGCTTGTGCAAACAGGACCATGATATTTACCATCCATCGGCAAACCAACATCACTGACAACGGACTTAGAAACTATTCCAGATTTACATTTGTTGTTCATTGAAGCAGTTGAAGCATTTACTAAATGTAGCGATCTATCTCCTGCAGGTGCTCCAATTAGGTTCGCACTTGAAAGGTAAACAGGAAGGTTGAGTTGTGAAAGACTCTGAACATCTTCAATGACAATTCGATTAACACCGTGTTCCATAGGGCACGTGTCCCCTTTAATGCAAAATCTGCGTTCCTTAAAATCTCTGCATTGTTGACGAGGACGTGTTGGATAAATCGAATGGAGGGAGTATCTGGTTGCGGCGAGAGATGGAAAGGAGTGTGGCTGAGGATTTTTGTGGTTTTTTCAGGGTATTGCCGAAAGAGTTTGGAATGGAGGTTTTTGTGTGAGTTTCCTCTCTTATTTTCTATGATGTTTTCCCCTCGAAACCAAACGATTTCTCAATTTTCATCTCAAAATTCCTACTCTATTTTATATCATTTGAAAATAGCAACAATGATTTTCATTTTTTCAGGTTCACTCGGTTTAATATCATCACGGTTTCACAGTTACAACAACAATAAGATAAGTAATAATTATAGCATCAGTCAACAACAACAAATTTGAGCGGTAGACAACAACAACAGGGCAAGGTAGTAAATAGAGTGGTACATAAAGAAAAAATACTCACACGGTCGGAGCTAGTCCGACGAGTTCTCGTTTCTGGAAAACTTCGACAGGTAAACTTGAATTTCCCCCTTTTTCCTTCTGAGGTCTGCAAAAACTTGTTGTCGGTTGTTATGGTTTTGTAGATGAATGCGTATACTGGCTGCAAAATCTGTGTTGTGATGTGCTTCTGAGTTGTTGCAAGGTTTAATGGAGCATTGTGGAAGGTTGATCTTGGCACTTAGAGTTTGGTATGAAGATCAATGAATGAAATAGAAGAAGATGTTTGGCCATGATGGAAATGGTGAGTATTGTTTGGAGTTTTGGAGAAGATCTAACAAATATTAATGAAGAATTTTCTCTCATTTTTTTTATCTGTCCCCCTTTATTCTATGAATTGTTGTCTTTGTATAGTGAATCAAAATGAATTTTGGGGGGGAAATTGGTGAGTCTTGGACTAATGTGGTATGCTGATTTTTTTACTTTTTGGTGCAGGATTTGTGTTTCTTATTTGGAATGATATGCAGGTTTGGACAGCAAGGGATATGCATTGTTTCTCATATTGCAGCAGGTTTTTTTGTAGTCTTATGGACTGTATTTTGACTGTTTTATTTGGACTGTTTGGACTGTTTGTGACAGCAAATGTGCAGTCTTTTGGCAGCATTGCAGCAGGGGCAGCAGCATGACCATTGTGCAGAAAAACATGGATAAGGACATAAGGGTTTTGGTGCAAGTTTGTGCAAGGATTTGGACATCAAGTTTGAGGCGTGAAGTTTATAGGGCATTAGAAGTAGCTCAAGTCTTGATTTTCTTGTAACTTCCTTTGTAATTTTCCTTGTAATAAATGATGTTTGAATTTTTGGTGTAAATCTTTGATGAATCTCAAAATTTCTCTTGAAAATAACCTTGGATGGAATTTGAAATGTCACTTAAAATTATGTCTTGTATTAAGAATGAACCAAATGGGCTTGAATAGGTCATGAATGATGATGGTTGAATCTTTGAATGAATTTGAAGTCTCTTGAATGATTCTTGAATACAACTCACTTTTGATCAAAAATGTTGTTAACTTTGAATCATGAGTGAAAATATTTATCTTTTGTGGGATTGTATGAATCTTGAATGATATTGTAATGGAGTCTTGATCCATTCTTGAATAATCTTGAAATTACGCACCAAATTGAACCTTGCATTTAGATGAATGGGTTATGGCACATGCCTTGCAATCTCAAATCAATTATGATACATGCCTCAATTTTATCCCCATGAATCAAGTTTTGAATTTAAAGTGGACAATTGAATCATGGCTAAAAGAATGAGTGTCTTTGAAACTTTGAATTAAATTGAATTTAACGGCATCTCGCGAGTGAATATCCAAATCATTTCTAATGAGACCCTAATTCAAATATTTGATTCATGGTAAATTGTAATACATATCAACAGTATAAATCGTGCCTTTAAGAAATTTATTCAACAATCCACCTTAATCCAACGATCGCTAATGTTCAATTGCAAATGACTTGAAGTAGGCAACAAGCAATCAAAGAGTCATTGAACTAAAACTCTAGTTTCATGAATTTTCCCAACATAAGAATCAAACGTCCCTTGAGAGAACATTTGCGGCATGAATCGAACCTCGATATTTGAAGTAATCCCATGGACAACGCTATTTTTGATACTTCGCAAAAGAATCGTCTCAGGACGTTGAAAATTGAAGAAGTTATGACCGTTTGAACTTGAACTTGCAAGAGTTAACTTTTGGTCGAAATGCTTTGAATCGACTTGAAAACTTGATCTTTCTTCGCATTCCAAAGCATCTTGATGCACATGTAAACCAGTGATGATGAAATCTTGACTGTGATTTGGGGAATTTTTGGAGAAGCTTGAGACCACTTGACGAACAAGGCGTGGAAATAAACACACGATCCTCTGAAGTTCCTCGAGACATAAGTTATCACACTTGAGACAACTATGATCAAAATGAGCCTGAACAAAGCTGTTGTACCTCAATTTTTGCCCCTAAGATCCCTCTATCATATCAAATCAACTCGATCATAACAAGATCACATTAGGGTTAGTTCTTCCTCTTTTTCTATCTCCTATATTTAAGTTTGCTCTTGAGGAATCTCCAAGCACCTTAGTTGTGTATTTTGTATATGTTTTGTTGACTAACTTCTAATAAAAAAAAATATTTGTCTTTGTCTTTGTATATTTTTGTTTTGTTGGTACCAAGTCGAAGCATCTGACAAATAACGATTTCTGGTATTATTTTCCTAAAATCTCTATTTGCAAAGGAAAAATTAACAAAAATTCATTTTTTCACTAATACAATCGATTGCTCATAGAGTGCAATCGATTGCACACAGTGCATTTTGCGCCATTTTTGAAAAAATACACTATGCAAATCGATTTGCACTATAGTTCAATCGATTGCACAGCGTGAAAATTTGAAAAAAAATCAGCAATTTTAAACTTGTCAAATTTTGGCTCCAATTTTTCTTCATTTTTGAAAGATGTATCATTAATTCAAATTTTAGTGTCAATCTTTCATTTTTAATAAGAATTATCATCAATTCAAATTTTGGCTCTAATATTTGAAATAATTATCATTAATTCAAATTTTGGCTCTAATTTTTGAAAGAGTTATCATTAATTCAAATTTTGGCTCCAAGAATCAATTACCAAATTACCACTAATCCCAATCCTAAAACTCTATAAAGAGAGCTCTCATTTCATTCAAATTTCAAGCTTTTGATAGCCAAATCCACCTTGCTAAAAAGTCTCTCAATACTCTCCATCTACCAAATTCACTCAAAGCTCCATTTTCAAAAAGTTAGTAAGCTTTGCATTGAAGCTTACTAATCTTTGAGCTAAACCTTCATCCAAACACTTTTTCTCCATCAATTCCCTACATCCAAGATTGGTCATTTGATTGTTGTGGTTGAATTGAAGCAAATCCTTGAAGTTGTTTTGTTAATTCTCAAGATCTACCTTTAATAAGTTGGATAATTCATCTTTCACAATGCGATCTCTTGTTGATATTTGGGTTTGATTCATTAAGCATTATTTTGTGATTCCAATGGTGTTATTTTCTCATAATTTTATGAAATTTTCGTGCTCAATTGGATCCATGATCATAAGGTATTTGATGGAAAGTTTGAACAAAAATTTGGTCTTTTAAAATGTTGTTTTGCTGTCTATAACAGCGTGCAATCGATTGCAGTAACAGTGCAATCGATTTCACAGAAGCAATTTCGCGCAGATTTTTGAAAATTGTACTGTGTAAATCGATTTAGACAGTAGTGCAATCGATTTACACAGAGACATAATGCATTTTTTTGCCTTGTTTTGGGGCAGCTTTGATCCAAAATGCTTTTTCTACTCACTCCTTTTGATTGTTGGTTTGGATTGCAATTTTAAATGTCTAATTTCTCTTTAAACTCAATGGACTTTGTGATGTAGATGAAGTTGGATAAATGTTCATTAATTCAAATCTACCTAAGAGTGAATTATTTAATTCATTTTTGGTGCTTTGGATTAATGATATGTTTAGAGCTTTAATCCATCTAGAGAAGTGGTTGAATTTAAAGATGAAAGAATTTTGAGGTGGTGATCCAAATTAGCTTATCATTCCCCTCCCTCTTCATATTATCCCTTTCTTTTTTAATTGTGCTACATGTTAAGGGATGGTGATCTCTATATCATTTATCCAAACATGAATTACATAGATTGCTATTGACCAGCCTCAAAATAGGTGTGACTTCTACATAAGTCCACTTATGATTGCTTAACATAGCGGTAAATTTTGTCCCGATTCGAATAAATGACCATTCGTGGCCTAAACTTATGATTGCAAGCTCAAGTATGTTAATTTGATCTCTTTGATCCAATAACCTTGAGATTCATTGTGTGGAGGCATTGGTTCTACCAATCCTCTAATGGATCTACAACACCTTTGGTCAACGCGGATCACTTAAACATCGTGGATCATTAAATGGCACTTTTAAGGATTCCAAAATGGATGATATACTTGACAAAAAGAAAATGCAACTTGTTGTGTGGAGGCTTTGGCTCTACCAATCCTCTAATGAGTTCCAAATGCAAGTTTCAAGATGGTCATTCAACTAACCACTAATTTCTA